AACGATGACAGGGGTGGGCAGGGGTTGGGGGAAGCACAACTAGATCAGGCCTCAGGCCTCTCCCTCTTTAAGTCTAAAATTCGTATACAAAAGGGAAGACACAGGATATAAAAGAGCAGAGCTGAAATTCCAGTCCAAAGACCAGACCCTGAGTCCTACGTCTTCTGCTGCTTATTAGTGATATCTGTTATCTTGAGTCATTCATGTACAGTTTGAACTCAGGTTCCGCCTGCTGTAAGGATTTTATTTAAAAAAAAGATACATAAAAGCACTTTGCAAACTTTAAAAAAAAGACAAATAAGTACCAGGACAATTACGGATAAAAAGAAAATCCACTATGGTGGCGATGTGGCCTGCTAACTCAGTATTTCATCAGATAACTGGGAATCAGGGGAGTCATGGAAAGCCTCCATCAGTCAGTCAACGTGAAAACCAGAACTATGGACATGAGGTGTTTCTTTTATACGTTTCAGGTGAAATCACTGTATAAAAAAAAAAAAAAAGTCGGTATGCAGGCCAGCATACCTAAAGTTTATATCTAATAAAATGTCACCTAAGACATACCAGAAATATAACCCATATTCATGCATATGGAATGTTAATAGATCATGCTTCATGAGTCTCAGATAATAATTGTTCACAGATCATTGGACTTCAGTTTATAACAATATTAATGCTAGAAGCACAGATTAATCAATAGCACTTACTGATGGCATATGAGCAATGCAAAAATGGATGGCAAAGGCTAAGCAAAAATCTTTCATCAGGGGAAATAGGAACATGCAGTTTTCTCAACAGTTACGATATTCTCCAATTTCATGTACCTTTAGTTCACAGAAGGGGTAAGAAAGACTTAAAATAGATTTACTCAACGTTTTTGGTTCTCATGTGCCAAAATTTGATATGGGAACTGTCACTGGATTAATGGATTAAGTTTTTGCTGAAATATGTGCCTGTTTAAATATGATAAAGAACTTGAAAAATAATCCAATTTCAGCACTTAAAATGTCTGCATTCTTCCTTAATTTTTGTAAAGACACTGAAATAATACACCTAAAGCACTTACTGGTACTAGTAATAGAGCACCTCACATACTATATTAATAATATATGTTTGCTATTATTGTTCTCCAGTTTTTAATGAAAACAGTTTTAGTTTGGAACATTTTGGATATGTGAAGTCTCTGGAGCCCAAAACCTGGGTGTAAACTGTGGCATACCATTTACTGACTATATTCTTTGAGTTTGCTAGCCCTGGCTGGTTGTCAGTTCAATTCTTGGTCAGGGTATCTGCCTGAATTGAGGACTTGTTCCCCAGTAGGAGGTATGCAGGAGGCAGCCAATGGCTGATTCACGCTCACATCAATGTCTCTCTCTCTCTCTCTCTCTCTCTCTCTCTCTCTCTCTCTCTCTCTCTCGATCTCCCTTCCTCTCTCTCTAAAAATTAATAAGAATGTTTTTGTTTTTTATTTAAAAAAGGGGTTGTATTAATAATGTCACCTCAGAGAGAGGCTATGCAGATTAAATTGGTTTAAAATATAAAGCAATTACCATATCAGTGCCTGGTACCTTGAAAACGCTCAGGGTCAGCTGTTATCTACAACAGTGCTTCCCAATAATGATTTACTTGACTTGAATTATATTTCTAACACATTTCAGGTTCTTGTATCTTCCTATGACCAGTGTCTAACATACGGAGTATCTCAGATACATTTTTTTTAAATCTCTTGAGACTAATAAGAGCTCAAAATCTTGTGCCAATAACTCAAGTAACTTACATTAGATCTAAAACTATTTTGAGTCTACTTCCTATTAACCCTTACCTTGTCCTGCTTATGCTTTAAAAAGGAAAATAGAAGTTATAATTCTCTTATAAAGTGAATGTTAAGGTTATAAGTTTCCCTCCCAGCCTCTCATAATGTTTGTTTGTTTGTTTGTTTGTTTGTTTGTTTAAAAGTAATACCAGATACCTAGCCTATTTCAGGAAAAGTATTTTCATTACCAAAGACTTAAAAAAAAAAAAGTAATCTGGCACTAAATAGAAAGAATTTAAATCCTGGCAAACCTAAAGAAAATTTGTAAACTTACACGTCGAAGGTCAAATTTGAGTGCTAAATGCTGGAAATGATCATGGTGTTTTGTTTTTTTTAAGTTTCTTATATTCATCAAAATGAAAACTATAAGAAATAACTACATCTGTATAAATTCTTCAAATTAACATATGCTAAAATATTCTGAAGTTGAGGCTTCCTCAATTGGTGATAAAAATATATCTTTAAAAAAACTATTTCACTATGGGCACGTGCGCTCTCTCGCTCTCTCTTTCTCTCTCTCTCTCTCTCTCTCTCTCTCTCTCTCTCTCTCACACCCACACACACACACACACACACACACACACACACAACTTGTCAAAGTTAGGGATTAAAAGTACCCACAAAGTAAAGGCCTCCTCCAGGCAGGGGTAAAGGAGTAGCACAGAGTGGGTCAGATAACTTGGACCCTCTATCCTGAAGAACAGCTAGAATCAATGAATCCACATCCTGTAAGTTTCTAGTTAGTATCTTTCCACAACCCTATTGTAGCAAAGTGAATAAATAAATGGGATTAAGCAAGTTGTCCAACAGCATTCTCCTGATTCTCCTACTGATCTAAATCTCCTTTGTTGATTTTACCTCATCTGATCAAACTCTGGACTCAATCACCTCAGGGTTCAATTCTCCCACATTTTCTCTTCTGTCTGCACACTCACAGATTGGGTGATCTCATACATCCCATAGCTTTAAATACCCTCTACATGTTGTCAACTTCTAAATTTATACCTCTAGTCCCATCTGCTACCCCCGACCTCTCTGGACTCATAATCAGCTGCTCTCTAGGGAAGGTTACTTAGATACCCAGGAGGCATCTAAATAGATTCAAACTTTTAACTATTTCCCATCTCCTTCCTCATCTCAATAAATGGCAACATCTACCAGCTGCATTATTTTTTCATTTTAGTACTTACCACCATCAGACATAATTTGTTTAATGCCTATTTCTCCCCAGGAGAATGCAAGCTGCACGAACAGTTATTTCTGTCACAATATATAAGGGCTAAAGGGAACTAATTTAGGCTGTATGGAAAAACGCAGGCCCCAGAAGTGATCTATGGGGTAAAGTCTGAATGATAAGATGAAGCCAATGGGAGGATATGATCAGGATGTTCAAGGAGATGACAGGACAAACACAAAGGTCTAAGTCCTTAAGAAGCTTGTAGGGACACATGAGGAGAAACTAAAGCCCCTTCGATTGGAGAACAGTGAACCAGAGGGAGACTACTGAGAAAGGAGGAAGGGGGAGAGAGTAAGGTTCCAGGAATTCAGGGAAAGAAAATGTCAAGTTCGAAGGCCAGGAAGCAATCAAGTCAAATTCAGCATTTCAATACAAATAGCAAGAGGTAACAGAGACCTCTTCCAGAAAGACTCAACTAAGACTTCATGCTTCCTTAGGTATGTTAGTAACTGAAACAAATTATTTTCCTATTACTTTATCTGATTCAATTTTAACAACTACGTATTTTTAGTTGGCTTTAGCAGATTTTTTTTATTTTAAGAAACTCAAGTTAATAAAAAGATGAAAGATTCCATTTCTTTAAAAAGATCAATATTTTCTTTGGTCTCCTTTTTTCGGCAATTAGCCTCTTTAGATCACCCAGATGACATATTTATCTAATTATGGTAATTCATTGGTGACATGAGAATTTGTTTAAACTGTTAAGTGTCTTCTTTCATCTTCTTGAGCTTTTATTTTTGCTTTGTCACTGTTCTGACATACTTAGGTTTTGGTCAAATTCAATCATATAAGTCATGGTTTATCACTGAAAAACATAGGCTTTGTAATGAATTACAAAACTCCTTTACACTTTATTAGTATATATTCTTAGAATATCCTACTTCTAAAAGGAATCACTAATTTTTAAAACACAGATCCTACAAGATCTTCTACCAGCTATTCCTTCAGTTGTACTAACGTCATGTGACTAAAAGTGTTGATTAATCACTCTAGTATTTAGATTTGTGTGTTATTGATTACTTTAACAGACTCTTTGTGGAAATATAATTAGGCTTTTATCTGTAGAAGTTTTTCCTCATTATTTTGCATTCTTTATTTCAGACCTTCTCTGAAACAACAGGAAAAGCAAGAAAAACCACAATATGACTTCACTCATTAACAAAGAATTTCTTCCTTGCCCCAACATGAGAAAAATGACTGAAGGCAACAATGATGAATTCTGAAGCACCAGAGTTGATCTAATCCCCATCTCCATGGCTTCTAAAACAATCTACCCCATTCCTCAGCATTTCTTCTCTTCAGTCTTTGTCTTTTATCCTGTGATCATATTGGTCATCATATTGGATGTCTCAAGATCCTGCACATAAAACATCCAAATCTCTGAGCTCAGAGGTCTGACTTCCCACTCAGCTACATCTTAACTTCATTATCTAGATCAGCTCCATTTCCAAGTTTAGTATGTTTCAACTCCTACTCCTGATAACAACTTCCTTGTCCTCTCTCAAAATCTTCTCCTCTGTCAATAGTGAAACTTCAGCATTAATAACTAGTAATACTTGTCCTCTCTGCTTTCTTTCCCCCCCCCCAAATATATTTGATTGATTTTTAGAGGGAAAGAAAAGGAGAGGGAGAGAGATAGAGACTGTTCTAAACTATTTCTACAAATTCCTCTCAATTAGAATGGATTTCATAATGGCAGTTGGCTAAATATTTTTAATTATTAGGAAAATTAACTGGAAAACAGAATATACATATAATATACATATGTTGAAATAAGTAGAAATAGCTTATTAGCAACATTTGATCATCATACAATTTTTTTCTTTAACATTTAGTACACACATCATATTATAAGGTCTGCTATGGTTAAGCCTAATTAAAAAGATCTATTCTTTTTTTAAAAAAAATCCAAACAAAGCATTATTCTTAAGAAATGAGTAACAGACTTACCAGTCGTCTCCTTTCTTCTTCTACTGTGATGAGTAGTCTTGCAAATTCTTTTAGCGACTGAGCTATTGAGAAGACAAATTTTAAAAAGAAGTATTAACCTCTTTTCATTGCTAATATCTAACTGTACAGGAACAAACATTATAATGAAACTAGTTATAAATTTATATTTATTGTATGGTTTTATGGTTTTATAACGATTACACAGTATATACAATAGAATCTCAATGAATAGCAGCTATAGATAAGATGTTTGTATGCCACAAATCAAAGTTAAGCACATAGCAAGTACAATATTTTTTTTTCTTTAAAGACACTAGGGGAATATAGTTTATATACTTAATATATAAAACTCTCACATTAATAAATAGAAATATAGTCCTGGAATCACCTCTAAACAGAATATTAAAAATAATGAAAAGCATATTAAATCTATAAGAAGCAATAAATCCAGTACTATTTAGATGACTTAGTAGCAGCCAGTAATACAAGGGCTCCCATTGCATCTTTCTAGAAGTTCAACAAATTTTGTATTTTTCCGATATCTACAATATTTTATTTTATTTTTTAAAATATATGTTATTGATTTTTCACAGAGAGAAAGAGAGAGGGATAGAGAGTTAGAAATATTGATGAGAGGGAATCATTGATCAGCTGCCTCTTGCACACACTCTACTGGGGATGTGCCTGCAACCAAGATACATGCCCTTGACCAGAATCGAACCTGGGACCTTCCAGTCCACAGGCCAACTCTCTATCCGCTAAGCCAAACTGATTTTGGCTATATCTACAATATTTTAAACCTTTGCTAGTCAGTGTTGTGAAATGACCACCAGCATCAGCATTTGGGAATTTATTAAAAATACAGACTCTCAGGCACAACCCCAGAATCTGCACTTTATCAAAATCCTCAGGTGACCTGTTTGCATGCACTGCTTTAAAAAATTATAGGATCTATAGTGCCCTAAACTGGGGGGAAAAAACAAGTATTCAGAAACTTTAAAAAAATAAACCAAAAGTAAATAAATAGGAACTTACAGTAGCCTATTCTTTTAAAATGCATAGTTCCAAATGGCAATTGTGAGAAGTAATTTATCCATATCAATTTTTATACCTTATTCTATCTAATAAAAGAGTAATATGCAAATTGACTGTCACTCCAACACACAAGATGGTTGCCCCCGTGTGGTCACAAGATGGCTGCCACAAGATGGCCAGCAGGAGAGGGTAGTTGAGAGGGACCAGGCCTGCAAGGGAGGGCACTTGGGGGGTGGGGGGGGGAACCAGGCCTGCAGGGGAGGGCAATTATAGGTGACCAGACCTTCAGGGGAAGGCAGTTGGCACAGGGACCAGGCCTGCAGGGTAACCTTAAATGTAACCTTAAATGTAAATGGACTAAATGCTCCAATCAAAAGACATCAAATGGCTGAATCGATAAGAAAATGTGTCATATATATATATACTGTCTACAAGACACCCACCTCAGAACAAGGACTCACACAGATTAAAAGTGAAGGGATGGGAAAATAATTTTTAGGCAAATGGAAATGAATAAAAATCTGGGATAGCAATACTTATATCTGATGAAAGAAACCTCAAAGTGAAGGCCATAACAAGAGATAGGCAGGCCACTTCATAATACTAAAGGGATCAATACCACAAAGAGAATATAACTCTGATAAACATATATTCAGCCAATGTAGGAACACCCAAATACATTTAAAAATAATAATAATAATAATTTTAAAAGTCCAATCTAGGATTTTTTTTTCTTCTTCTTTTCAGAAATGCTAGGTTTACAGTAAACTAAGCTGGTTTGAAATGCTGCCCCTACCCATTACTTCACAGCAGGTTTTATTCAGTTACCAAAATAGAAATCAAAGGATTACCTGGGAATCAGATCACTCTTTAAAACACATTAGTGGCCTTAGAGTAATGATTACTTTTTAAAAAGTTTTAATTTCTGCAAAAATAACTCTAGCAATGTAACCCAGTTTTGAAAACAGTAAAATGAAAACATTTTTCAAATATATGGATTTTATCTCGAGGGCATAATAACAAATTCTATTTTTGTTCTATTGGCATCTATGGGTAAAGAAAGCATTCCATCATCATTCTGGCAGCTATCTACTGCTGCTGAAGATCTCTTTTGGTGAGTCTGAAAGAAATCTCAACCAAACTTTGGGTGAGAGAAGACAACATTAGCATGCGTAGGGGAAAAGAATCAAAGAGGTAAGTCGGTTTGGGCTACAGGAACTGGAGGCAGCTGGTACACTTGAATGTGAGAAAACAAGAGGAGATACAGATAGAGAGTTGAAAGTAAAGAAACACTTTAACCCCACATTTCTCTCAGTTCCTCACAAACTACTTAAGGAAAAGAAACCCTTACCAGCACATGCTTCCTTTATTGGCAATAATTAATGCTTTGTTAGATTATGGATGACATACTCTAATAAAGCATGGGCCAAGAGAAAAGGTTATAGAATCTAAAGATACAACATCCAATACAGAAAAGAAGCAAATGGAATTCTCAAGACAACACAGCTGTATAGTCCAGGACAATAGTTGCACAAAAGGCCAAGAGAGGATCTGCAGATCACATATAAGACAACCAAAGAATGCATAAATAAGTAGAAAGCAAATCTCTCTCTCTCTCTCTCTCTCTCTCTCTCTCTCTCTCTCTCTCTCTCTCTCTCTCTCTCTCTCTCTCCCTCTCTCTCTGAAAAAAAAAAATCATCAATACCAAAAAAATAAAGAAGTAGCAAGATACTTATGATCTTTACAGAAATGGGAGAAATGACTAAAAGTTCAAAATGGTCTTTATGGGGAATTAAGTGGTGGAGAGACCAAAGTCCACAGGCTTCCTCAGGTAACCATTACTCTGAGTAAACTGTGGAGTTGCCTTAAATCCGATTTTGATTACAACTAAGGAAGCTCGGGTTCTCATTGCACTGTTGAACTTCTTTGTCAAAAAATTGATACTTCTGCTTTACTTGATTCTGGTCTGTTTCCAATATTAATACGATTTATAGACTCAGTACCTAGAAGTCGATTATAATGGCAGTGTCGAAGGAGAAAAATGTTGACATGCAAAAGCAATCAAGTCTGCTTCCTCACAACATAAACTAGTCTCCTTCCAGCAATTTTGTGTGTGTCCCCCAAATGAACAAGTTTTGTTCCCTCTTTCTATTTTTTCAGGAAAATTACTTGGAAAAAAAGACTGTTCTCTTTAAATATTAAAAGTGTATTTGAAGTCTCAGTTCCATGAAAGTATATGTTCCTGGGTCTAAATGAAGATACTCGTGTTTGTCATTTGTTCTTAAAAAAAAAAAGGAACAGTAAATATTTCATGAATTAGTGACAGTGGCCTACTAACTTTTAAAACCCATATTAATGTTTCCTCCTAATCTTTTTCATTTATAATGATGTTAAAGTACTGCATTAATAGTTTACTAAGCACGGGGTAACAGAAAGAAAATAGTAATTAACAGTGCGGTGAAGCAGATATAAAATGATTCAATGTGGGTTTTAGGATTAAGGGCTGAAGAATAGGCATTCCCCTCCCTGCCTGCTCCACCCTCCAAGTAGCAGGAACTTCTAACATAATGAGAAGCCAATATTAGAATCTCTGGTGTCAGGGACCCACAAATGCCCTCAAGACTATGAAAACTGGCAGGAGTCTATTCTCACCAGAACTTGGGCAGAAAATACATACAAAATGACCCTCCCAGCACCCATCACGGTGCCATATACAAACAGCTACTGATGCCATGACTGCTTGGGCATTTCTTCTAAAACTTTACTTAAGCAAATTCATAAAACATTTATTACACGCAAATTCCTAATACCCAAGTACTTTCTTTTATAAGCTACTATTTGTGATACTCCATATTTTATTTATCAACATTAATATTTACATAAATAACCATTTCATTGTCTGATTTTGGAGGTCCACACTAACTTCAAATATTAACAGCTGATCCTGCAATTATAGGTGGCATTACAGGAGCTTGATTTCATGAGAACACTATTCCCAAAACAATACTTAAAACACAATGGGCTTACAATAGATGGTCGTTACATGAATTCATGAAATTAACAATATATTTCCACAGCCTGTTTGCTCTATGAGAAACATAAAACCCTTATTCTGGTCTTCATAAAATACTCTGAAAGGAATATTATGTTAGCTATGGAAAATTATGTTAGCTATCCACATTCTTGCCACCTGCACAAAACTTTCCTGGCTACATTCACCAGTAATAATCTTTCCCCTTCCTGACCATCTGGACCACGAGATTACTGGAGAGCAACCAAAATATAATTTCACATATAAATGTTAACTTCCCAATAAATTACTGAGGTCAAGAATATTGCTATAGGCTTTCCTTTTTATCGCCACAATGTGATATTGGAAAAACACTTTCGGAACAAAAAGGAATCAATTATTCAGGTGTATTTATGGCAGGTCCTGAGAGTACAAATATTCACAAAGCCAAGAGTTAGATTATATTTACAGCGTGAGAAGTATGATAACGGCTTTCCTATTTACCAATATTATACTACTAAAGTCCAGAACTTACACATGCATAGCCCATGGGTACAGAAAACAGTGTGGGGAAGGCCAGGGGAGGAACAGAGTGAGGTGGGCAAAGAGAGGGGAAGTGGAGGACATCTGTAACAGTGTCAACAATTTAAAAAAAAAAAAAAAGGATCATAAAAAGAAAGAAATAAAATACTTATTTCTTAACAATCTTTTCAACCGGCTTAAATTCATCATACTATTTTTTTTTTTTTTTTCCCAGAGAGGAAGGGAGAGGGAGAGAAATAGAAACATCAATAATGAGAGAGAATCATTGATCACCTGTCTCTTGCAAACACACCCACAACCCAGGTATGTGCCCTGCTCCGGAATTGAACTGTGACCTCCTGATTCATAGATCAACACTCAATCACTGAGCCACACCGGCCGGGCCACACTACTATTTTTGAATGTGGAAAACCTGTTTAGGGTCTGGGAGTAGCCATGAGAGAGGAAAAAAAAAAAAACAACTCCCTGTTCATT